AAACAAACAAACAAAAGAATTCCGGGATGTTGATCAGCCGGAGGGCACATATGCAGCATATACCAGGCCCTGGAGTACCACAAAATAAATAAAGTCATAAAAAAACAAATCCAGGAAATGGTGTAAACGGAAAGCACAGGGAGTTGAAAGTTAGGTGGAGATGGGGCGTGGAAACAGGAACTACACACAGAAGCTACACACCACGGTGTGCACAAGCACCGCACGGAGCACAGTGACTGGCTGAAGGCCCGCATGGCTACCCTTGGGCTCGAATCTGCAGCCAGAGGCCTGGATCTAGCTCAGCACTGCACTGTAAGAGTCAGAGGGCTAGGATCCCAGGGTCTCCTCCCACCACCCACAAACGCCTTGAAACAGGAGTGAACCCTGTGGTGCAGTCAGGAGCGAGCAGCACAGAGATGCCCTCACCCTGGGCCACTGTCTTGAAGGAAAATCCAAAGGAATAATATGGGAGGGGCCTGTGGTCTTTGTAACCGTTCAACATTTATTCATGTCTTCTTTGATCATACAGTGAATTTTAAAACTATTATAAACTAGCAATATGGGACCTGATCCTGAAATTACTATTTCTGTCACAGCTGGACCTAAATTAGTATGTCACACGCCAACCCTGAACTCAGGAATCTGTCTTCCTTTGTAAGCAACAAAAGCCTTAGCTGGGTGAGATCTCCTTCCTTAGTATCTTTCTGATAACTGGCTCACAGGCGGCTGCTTTTGTTCCTTTAGATTCGTGAAGCCCCTCATAATTCATACTGCATTCTTGTTTTTAACCTATGTTTCTAGAGTTTTCTTCCCCCCCCCCCCAGGCTTAAGGGCTGTCCTGAAGGTCCCAGTGTTTACCATTTGGCTAAGACGTGAGATACACCATGAGCCTCCCAGACTCATGGAGTCATTAATGTTGACAGGGAAGACTTGAAGGAAGAAAGTAAGATCTGTTCTTACACAAACAAGTCTTACACCCACAGCAGCCATGGACACTCATGGAGCCCTCTCCCTCCCACTCCACACTGGCCTGCTGGCCCTGTCTCATGGGCAGGGAATCAAGTCATTTTCATTTGGTCCCTACCAAGGCCATGCTAGACCCGGCAAGATGCCTTGGAATTGGAGTTCTGAATGGTTGTAGGCTGTGATCATGAGGGTGTTAAGAACCAAACCTGGGTCTTCTGCAAGAGCAGAAAGTGCTCTTAACCACTGAGCCATCTCTTAAGGCCCCAAGTTTATAAACTTTTGATATTTCCCCAGAATAACTGACAGTTCTGTAAGTTGCTTTAAAAAGGATACAGTATTTTTAAAATCACTTTAGACTAGGAGTGTGGTGTAATTACGTGAAGCGCACTAAGTTCTCCTAAGGCGTTACAGGCTTTTTTTTTTTCCATAACTAAGAACTTCTACCCGGAATAAGGCAACAAAGTCAAAGCAATTCTGAATGTATCTAGTAAGTAAACAGACATTAACTAGAGTAGTAGTACAAAGAGGCTTTAAAAAACAAAGAATACCTGTTCACTGGAGAAGTACCCATGAACATATTCAATTGCTTTTAATTTATATTCTGTCAAAACAGCCTAGAAAAGGGGGAAACAAAGAATTAATGTACATCAGCAGCATGTTAATATGCAGGTACTGAAACTATATACACACCCACACAGACTGACAGGGACTGGTCTCATTCAGCTCTAGCTGGGAGCTGCAGCAACTAAGGTAAACAAGAAATTCTATCCTGGCTGGGTCTCCGGAGAACATGGCTACAGAAGGAGCAACATTGTAACAGAGTCAACATTAGTACAAATTATGTTTCAAATTTGTGAATGTCTAACAATTTTCACAACATCTCTTACTGATACAATTGGCCCTTTTTTTCTTTCTTCCATAGTGGGTTCACTACGAAGCCCAGGCTGGCCGGAACTTGCAAGGTGGCCCACCACAGAGTCTTTAGAACTTGCTTCCTCATTCATAAAGGGGAAATCCCAGTCATAACCTTCAACAAGCTGTACTGAGGTCCTAATAATTAGAAACCTGATAGAGGGATGTTTGATAAATGCCTTCCTTCTCCTGTGGGACATATCAGCAGATGAGAGCAGATGCCTTTGCCCTAGCACTCACTATACAGAAGTCACATCTGCTCCTCTACCAGCTACTGTGGACCTCAGAGATGGAAAGACTAAAGCAAGCTGCGTAGATTGCAAGCATTCATAAAATATGAACTGCCCATTTTCTCCTCACTACAAAACAGCTATAATATTTGTATTTTCTCTATATATGCTTCTGCTAGGAGCAAATGCAACGGCCAGTAAAATCACCCAGGGTGCTCAACAGTTCAGCTCTTAAATGGCATTCTGGGTAATGCATGGTGAGGAGTCTTATTATCTTTATCATTAAAGAGACAGTCAAAACAAGGTTCAGGACCAAATCCTGGCTTGAGCTGATGACACCAATCCTATCTCAAATCTTCCCCTAATGCTGGCCCCGACACAGAGCATGAACCACATTTTTTTTTTTTTTAAATACCAGACTCCTGGGGGAGCATTAGATACCTAATGAGGGCTTGGCTTGGTGTTGTACATTGGGAGTACACCATCTAACTCCAATTAAAAAGCTGGAGTCAAACAGAAAAAATGCTTACTAATTAACAGCTCTTATTATTCCTGTTTTGAGAAAACAAAACAACGCCTTTCCTATTTTTCCCCCAAGTGTCTTCTCACATATTTCTACTTTAAGTGAGAGTCAGTATTATCTTTGGTTGTACAGTAACAACAGAAGAGGTGACCCATTAAAATGGACATTTACCAAGTCTAAAGCAATTTCTAAAAATTATAACACGGCCCCTACTTAGAAATGCCTCTATATTTTACTCCATTTTAGTAGACTAAGATACGGTGGATGCGCTTCTCCATCTGGCAAAGCCAACTGGCAGCACATTTTGATTGCAGACTAGAATTGTGGACTTGAAGGCCCCCCTCAGATGAACAGACTTTTATCTCTGGAACCTTTCTGATTCCCTCGTTAATATTTATTACCAGACATTTTTACAAGGCTGAGAAGGGAGAAGATATACAAATGCATGTCTACACTGCTCCAAAGCGGAAGTCTGCATTCAGGTCTACTTTAACTTAAAATTTATTTTCCCAGAGTGGTTAAAAACCAGCCCAGAAACCAACCATATGTGGCAAATTCCAAGTACATGGTAAAACGACATTTTGTTTCAAATTTTAATTAGAGAAGACTCAGCAAGAGCATAAGTCTATTTGAAAAGAAAAAAAAAACAGCACCATCAAATAGGAAAGATTAAAAGTATGTTATTTGAAAGGGGAAGAAAGGAGGTCTTACAAAGAGCAAAACAAAGCACTAAAACTGGCGGCAATTTTCGCAGTGCCAGTCAGGGGTACGGTTTGAGATGCCAAACAGATGCAAGACAGCCCCATGCAAGCTCTGAGATGCTGTGTGGCTCAAGGCCACAGCACTGCCCTTTCAAACAGGGAACCTGTTATTTTTGCCTAAGAGATACTTTTAGACTCAACCCTACATTCCAAATTTTTTGCTGCCTGGTTCATTCCAGGGAACAGGAAATATAAACAGTTTGAAAAAGCAGAGGAGGAAAGCAAAGGCAAGGAAGCCATTCTGCCTAGCTTGAGATTTGAAAAGGAACTTAGTAGGCATCTCTTCCAGTGCCCAGTCACTCCTCTTACTGAAACATGTTAACATTGTATAAATGTCACCCAACCAAAAGCTCCGTTATTAAGGATTTACAGTTGGCTCCGGAACCGTCGGTAATACAAACGTAATTCCTATATCGCAATGACTTCCTAAATTTAGCAGTGAAGTGGTTTATCTTCTATTTAAGCAGTGCAACCTACCAAGATGCAAGCTCTTACATTACACAGGAAAGTTCAAGTCCCTTTGGTGACTACACAACAAACACCTGAAAAAAAGTAACTCACGACAATTATCTCAGAATTTTAGAGATCAAGGTCAATTACCTTTCGAATTTCATCCAGCACCGTTTCAAAGGACTTTTTGTCCATCTTGAGTACTATTCCGATGTGACGTCTAACAGTTCTACTTGCAATTATAAAACGCTCATCCCAGGTTCGACTCGTGGATAATACACCAAAGGAGAAATGAGGCGAGGAGGTAGAGAGTATTGCAAACTGCACTAAAAACAAAACAAAAATCCCAGAACGGAAACTTGGAAAAAGTTTTTATTAAAATCAGACTTCATTAGCTTCTTCACACAAAGCTTCAGCTGCTCAGAGCAGAGCCGGCTTGTGCGTTTGCAGAAATCAGGGGTCGGTAGGGCGCCGAGGGCCGGGCGCTCCTCCGAAGGCCGCCGAGCCACTCTCCGCTCACCGCCGCGATCGGGAACACGTGGTCCCACGGGCCCCGCCGCTCCGCTCGATCCCGGGGTCCTGCAGCTCCGGCTGCCGGCGGCCCTACAAGTCCTTTGTTACGGGTTTTCGTAGCTTCCGGGAGCGGGTCGGCGGCCGGGGCGCATTAGGAGCCGGGCGAAGGGGAACACAGCCTCGCCAAGGGCGGCTCTCGAGCACCGCAGCGCTCACGCGACCAGGCGCCCAGCGGGAGCACCCCTAAACGCCCCACCAGCTCCAGAGGACCTTCAGTAGAGGGTGTCGCGTCCACAAGACGCAATTATGCGCCGCCACCTTAAGTCGCTATTGCCCGAAACACTACTTGGGGCGCTGGGGTCCTAGTGTGGGAACATAGGCATCCACGGCAGACGCCTGAATACTTGTGAAACGGATGTAACAAAAGTCCTTTTCGGAGCGTGATAGTCATTGTTTTAGTGCACGGTCCCCTAACTCGTCAGTTTTGCGGTGCTCTGTTTTGATTATTGAATGTGAGTTTAAACGAGTAAACGGTAAGTAGGTCAGGAAGATCTGCGGACGCCGCCATCTTAGTGGTTGAAAGAAGTCTGGGGCCAGGAACGCCTCCGTGTGGGGGCTGGGGTCACTGGGCTACTCGCTGAGCATCTGACTTTGGGGCGGGGCAAGGAGCCAGAAACCCGGAATTGGTCTTAGGAGTTTGCTCTGGTCTAGTTTTCCGGCGCTTTAGGCTTCCTGTGTCCCAGACCCGGCTTCAGGCCTCGATGACCTTCCCCTCCCGGACCCTCACGATGGCGAGAGCCTGGGTCTGCTTGGCAGGCGCCGTCTTCTTCCTTTCCTGCCTGGTTTTGCATTCGCGCTTCTGTGGCTCTCTGGTGAATAGCAGGCAGAGGGCTGTGGGTGTCAGTGGCGCCGAGAGGTGCAGCCCAAGGGGGTCCCAAACCTGCTCCCGGGGCTCAGCAGCAGACGACTCGTCTTCCCATTTAGCGTTAAAAAGTATGCATGTGGGGCTGGGGAGGTGGCCCAGAGTTTGGGCGCTCTGGCAGCTTTTGCAGAGGACTCGGGTTCGTTCCCAGCACCAACATGAAGGCTCACTTCCCCACTGTAACTCCAGTTCCAGGGAGGATGCCCTCTTCTGGCCTTTGTGGGCACATGGTGCACATAAACTCACGCGGGCTCACACACATAAGTCTAAATAAAAATAAGTAAATATATCATTTCAATAGTATATACACCGAATTTTCTTCCCCTACTACACTCTCAAGTCGTTAGCAAACTTTTCTAGTGGTTTTGATCTTTAGACCTACAAACCTATTTCAATATAGCTACCTTCTGGTTGTCAAACTGAATCTGAGTATTTTGATTTTATTTGAGGTTTCAAGGACATTTTCTTTTCACATTTCCTGGAGAATGGAGGACCCTCTTTTCCGGCTGGATTTGGGTTGGCCCAAGAATTCAGAATACTTCACTGGTGCAACATTTTGTGTTGCAGTTGACTCCCTCAACGGGTTAGTTTACGTAGCTCAAGTAAGTAGAATGCGTTTTTTTTATATGTGAGCCTGTGAGTTCAAGAGAGATCAGAGTGTGAATGTGGTTATCTAAAGTCAACTTTTGGAAATTAGTGTCAGGCTTGTTCAGCAAACACCTTTATCTGCCCAGCCGTCTCCCCAACTAGAGATTTTTTATCTTAATTATATATATTCAATTTGATCACAGCACACAGGAGAGAAAAAAAGAACTGTCAATCTGAGCATGACAAAAGAAAGAGATGAACAGAAGGAAAGGAGTGTTTCCCACCCTAGATAGCCCATTGCGTTTATATTATGCTAATTATTCAATTTATTTCTGAATTGGCTTCAAGTATACATTTTACATTTGTGTCCATTCCATGTTATTAGTAAGTTTTAAAGTTAGCACTTTTTTTACACATTTCTAGATTTCTCAATTATCCTTTAATTTCTCTGACAAAAGTAAAGATTAGCATTCCTATTGAGTGATTCTAAGCAGTTATTTTTGTATGCCTTCAGAGAGGGGATCACATCCCCAAGGTATTAGTGTTCTCAGAGGATGGATATTTCCTACGAGCCTGGAATTATACAGTTGACACACCCCATGGTATGTTTGTCTCCAGCACGTCATATGAACAGTCCGTCTGGATCACAGATGTAGGAAGTGGTATGTGTAGTACTGTCTATTAAATTACCTTCCTAGATAGATGTCATATCTTTGTCCATGTTCTTGCTTATACATTTTAAGGCTAGCATTGCTGAATCTAATCATAATTTAACATTTCCCAAAATCATGTCTTTCTACAAATTTATATCACACTACTGTATAATCAAGAAATTCAATAACACTATAATCATGATCTTTTAAATTTGTCAAGGGAACTTTATTTGTGTGTGGGGGAGAGGCAGAGTGTCATTCTTCAGGGGAATCCATCTTATCTTTTGAACCAAGGTCTTTCTCACTGGCCTAGAACTCCCCAACAGGGTAGGTTAAGTGGCCAGTGAACCCCGGAGGTCTTCCTTTCTCCACTTTCCCAATGCTGGGATTACAGTGCACACACGCATACTCAACAGGCTTTTGTTTGTTTGTTTTTGTTTTTTCCTGGCATTGGCTCTAGGTACAGAACCCAGGTCCTCATTCTTGAGTGACAGACGTTTTCCTGGTAGACTGAACTATCCTCCCAGTTCAGAGCCTTTCTTCTTTGAACCTTCAGTTGCTAATCTCAGAGTAAGTCTGTACCTCCTCTGTGAAGTCAAATCAGATGTCAGTCTTTAGAGAAATCAGTGGACTCTTAACTCGTGTTTATACTGGCTGTCTCATGAAAGGGCGAATGAAGTGATAGGAAGCCACAATTTACTGCCTCGAGATGAGCAGAAACTGGTATGAACGGTTTTGAAATTCCACTCACTTAAGCATGTCTGAAACTTTCCTACCAGCAGATATTTTTAGTATACATTGTTGAAAAACAAGGTAGGCTCAGTAGCTTTATAGCTGCAGAAGTTGTAGACAAATGTTTGTTTGCTGGTGTGTCCTACTTAATATAAGAGACAGCTTGTTGTCTTGGCCATCTGGCAGAAATGGGAGAGTCAGGGCAGATGTTGCTAGTGCCCTTGCTGGTCTGGTTATGTTTCTGGCTTGAAGGGTATCCTGCTTCCCCAGTGCTTGATAACGCACATACCACGCTTTAGCATCAGGAAGGTTGGGTTTTTATGTTGTCACTCTTGTTTACAGAACACAAAATATTTCTAGGCTTCAGGTAGTGAGCAGGCCATCCATTTAGTTAAATCTTTATCTTGGAAGGTAAGTGCTGGTTAAACATTTCAAGAGTGGCAGCTGAAGAGTGTTAAGGCTGCCCACTTTTCTAAGATTCATGACTTTTTGTCTTTTTTCCTTGTATCTCTTTTTCCTCCCTTCAGGTACTTTCCACAGCCAGGGCATGCTTCGCTGACCGCTCACTTCCCTTTCTGTCATGAGGCTGCTTCTAGCTGTGTGGCTTCCTTAGCTCCTCCTCTCTAGCTTCCTTTCCCAGGCGGCTGTAAGATTTACAGTTTGGGTACCCTGGAGGTTTTCTGTTAAATCCCAGTAAAATTGGCCTTGAACTTAAAACTGAATCCAGGAGATGGAACGACGCTCAATGGTCTAGAACACTTGTGCTTCCAGAGGGCCTGGGTGCAGTTCCAAGTGCCCTGTGGCAGCTCACAACCATCTGTAACTTCAGGTACAGGGAAGCCAATGCCTTCCAGCCTCATCCATACCTGTGGGCCAACACTCATGTACAGAAATAAATACTCCTGAAGGTATAGCTGATTATACAATAATGTAATGAGATTCGACTATTTCTCTCGTCTTCTCTGCCCCCAGAATTCACTGTGAGGGTCCTTTCATTTTAATTTATTCTGTTCATGTCGCCCTTTAAAAAGAAGGAAAACATCACTGGTTCCCATAAGTGCAGCACAGATGAGCTCATTCTTTTCACTGCGTCTTGTTTTCCACCCTCTGATCAGAGAAACTATTTTTTTATGCTTGTCCCATTTTCAAATGAATTGATTTCCTCAAGTGAAGATCTGGCTTCAAGTCAACCACTTAAAACAATTATAAGTACTCTATTCCCTTTTTCGAGTCTTTAGAAACTTGGAGGTGTGCTCTCTCTGACACTTTAGTGTTCTCTGTGGGTAAAACCTTCAGCATTAGCACTCAGATCTAGTGAAGTAGCATGTGAGGCTCTGGGGTAGGGCTGGAATGCAGGGTCACTCCTTGACTTCACTCTTTGGACACCAGTCAGTCAGTCCCGCCTTCTGGACTGCTTCATGGTTCCCCTTACTTGCTCTTACTTACTTTACTCTTTAACGTGTAAGGTCATTTTAGCTCCAAGATTATTTTTCCCTTAAGAAATGAGTTCAATTTTGAATTTGCTTCTGCTGTGAGAAAATGTAATTTTAAAAAATAGTGTTAGTTATAGAGAACTTTTTGAGGATTCACTAAAATTTAAAATCTGCATGATTGATTGAAATAACAGCTTTGAACGTCAGTTGCTTGTTTTTAGTTCCTTCTTGATTTCTTTTACAAGCAGTGAGTTGTTTGTTTGTTTGTTTTGGGTTTGGGTTTTTTGGGGAGTTGAGGGCTTTTTGAACTGAGGTTTCTCTGTGTAGCTTTCCATGGCTGTCTTGGAATTCACTCTGTAGACCAGGCTGGCCTTGAAGATCTGCCTGCCTCTGCCTCCTAGTGCTGTGACTAAAGGTGTGTCCCACCACCTGGCCAAACAGAGTGTTTTTAAAAAGAAATTAAATTATCCTAAGCTTTCCCTGTAAGGAGCCAGTGTTTTTGTGTTTAGAGTCTTATTTTGGAGAGATTAGATTAGATTAATTCATCTCCAGGTTTGCTCATACCTTATGAAAGGCTGCTAGTTGCCACCTGTTACTCTTAAATATGCAAATCTATTGGCTCCTGATTCTGTTCAGCCTGGTGAAAGATTTGTCTTTAGCTTATAGAAGATGTGAATTCAGTGCAGTTCTTGTGACACTTGCTTGTCTTTTTCTACAGGACCCTATGGCCATACTGTTAAAAAATATAATTCCCTGGGTGATCTTGTTCAAGTCTTGGGAACTCCAGGCAAGAAGGGCACTGGCTTGAACCCATTGCAGTTTGACAACCCTGCAGAATTATATGTAGATGACACAGGAGAGATTTACATTGTGGATGGAGATGGGGGACTGAATAACAGACTGGTCAAACTATCCCAAGGTAAATGCCTTAGCTTGGTATGATCATGACCATAAGGATGCTACTTTATAAATCGAATTTAATTTGTTTGCTGTGTGGTATAATGTAACCATATTGCACATGAAGTTGTGTGTAAAGATTAAATACAAGGAAATCTGTTGCTAAAAATATTATTTAGGGTTTGTACCCCACCCTAAGATCATTTACTTCCAAAATAAAAGACATAAAACATCTATATTTATAATAAACGTTAGAATTAGAGCTAGGTAGATATCAATTCTATACTGTTTTGTCTACTTCTCTGTCAATAATCCCCAGGTATCACTTGCTATGTTCTGCCTAGGCTGCTCCTACTCTAACTGGCTGACCCTCATGGCTATGTGCTCAGATCCACCCACCCCCAAGGGCCATGTGCTCACATCCACATACCCTTTCTCCTCTCTCCTCTGTGGTCTTTGCCTTAGTCCCCAACCCCCTACCCCCCACCCCACCTCTATTCTGCCTTGAGCTACCGGTTGTTGGCATCTTTATTCAGCCAAATGGTTTTGAATTAAGGAGCAAGGTTTGCATAAGAAAAGCTGGTATAGGTGAGAATTCCATCTTCTTGAGACAAATGGTCCTTGGGAAACAGAATTTAGCATTACAATGTATAGCCACAAAGCAAACTGAAATCAGATTGGTGGGATTACCAACAAGAAATGGTTCTGTTCAGGGGCCTGCTTGTTCTCCAAGGCCAGGAGACCCTCACAGGAACTGAGGTGGTGTGAAATTTAAAGAACTTCTGGAGATTTTCTGTCCTCTTTATGAAGGGGAAATCAGGAAACTAGATCTCTGCCGGACTTCCTGCAGTCTAACAGTAAGGCTTTAACCAGTGCCTGCTCAGTAGCCCTCAGTAGCCACCACAGCAGCAGGTCTGTTCTGAACAGAACAATTAAACTGATCTGTGACAGAGATTTTCAAGATAGGATAGGAACCGGAAGACAAACCCAAATTGGAGAGGCACATCAGAGTTTCCTGAAGAGGCAGCCGTTGGATAGGACCAGCAGGGCACTACTGGAGGTGGTGTCCAGATCCATGGGAGCCCTGAGCCAGGATGGAAACAGCATGGCTTTCTCAGCAGCCAAAAGGAAATGTGGGATTCCATTAAAGCTTCTCCGAGGATTTCATAGTTGTGTTCTGCTAGTAGTCTGTAAGACAGAGATATTCCAAATATGTTTTTAGATATACAAAATATTGGGAGCTATTGCTGCTGAGTCTGTCCTTAGGAATGAACTTGGTCTCTAACACAGGAGGTAAGCAGGCATCCAGAGATTCTGTAAAAGCAAGAAGCAGTAAAGTTAGGGACAGACTGAACACAGGTGCTCCCTGTAGTGGTTTAAAAAAAAAGACTGCAAAGAAAGTGACTTTAGACAATAGAAATTTATTGTCATGGTTTGGGAATCCAGAAGTCACAAAAGCTGAAATATATAGGGTGGATGATATTCCCACTGAGGGCTCAATTGGTGAGCCCTTCCTTTCCTCTCCTCAGCTGTAGCAGTGTAACTTTGCCCTCTTCATGTGGTCTAAGGCCATGTTCCCAGGTACAGTGTGTTAGGTGTGGACCAGTCTTGAAAGAGAGTTCAATCCATTAGGCTTTAGTAACTGGCCCTCTAGTGCATAGAGGGAGACCATGAAAGTATACCATAGCTGGATGCGGTGGTACACACTTGTAATATCTGCCTTCTAAGAAACTAAGGTAGGAGGAATGCTAAGAGTCTGAGGCCAGCCTGAACTACATTGTACAAGGCCAGCCAGGACTACATAACATGATTCTCTGTCTCAGGAAAAGAAAAACCAATTGAGCAAAAATGAGGAGTTATTTGTTTGTTTGTTTGCTTGTCTTTTGGTACAGAGGTAACTAGCTTGAAGGAAAGTGCAGGAACTCTGCACAGTGCCTTTGAGGTCAGAACAGCTCAGGCCAAGATACTGAAATGGTAGACTGAAGGAAAATATGAGTTAGACAGACAGTCAAAGCCGGGAAAGAATACCCAAGTGTGTAATATGTTTCTTTTCAGTTTGCAAGACAAAATCAACATGGAAATAACATGTTTCACTATTCATATATGTTTACCCTTTATAGGTTTCATGATCCTCTGGCTGCGTGGAGAGAATGGAACAGGACCTGCCAAGTTCAACATACCTCATAGCGTTACACTTGACTCAGTTGGTCGGGTAAAGACAGTGTCCTTGAGTTTGGAACTGTGTGGATATGGGCGGGTGGGCATGCCTTTGTGTATGTATCCTCTTTTTATTTCTGTTGCTGTGAGAAAAACAGAAGAACCAAGCAAAAGAAAGGGAGAAAAAGAAGTCAAGGCAGGGGCTTCAAACATGTCTGCTGTCCCAAGTCAGCAGCAGAGAGGAATGACTGCACATGTGTTGGCTTGTTCACACTTACACGGTATCATGCAGCTCAACTCTCTACCTCAGCATAGGAAATGGTGCCAACCACAGCAAGCTTCCCCGGTCAAGTAAAACAAACAAGACAATCCCCACTCAGACATTTCCACAGGCCAACCTGTGTCCACAGTGCTGCTTGAAGGCTCTCTACCTAGGCAGCCTTAGGTTGTATCAAGTTGGCAGTTAAAGGCAACCACAGTAGGCAGGGCTAAGCAATTCTCTAGAGCTGGCTGTGCACACATACTTCTAAAATGTTTGGACCCTATTCTGAGGAAGTTCTCCAAATATTTATAAATGAACAAAACAGATAATTCTATCGTGTAGCCGCCTGTGGCCACGGATTAACAGGATTCACCTGAAAGGGGGGCTAGAAGAAAGGGACGGAGGGTGAGAGGAAATGAAGCCAAGACAAAGTTCTCTGGTCAAGGCTCAAAGTTTAATGTTCAGTTTTCAATTTAAAGGGAAAGCCCCACCACCGAGCCCCTCTTGTTTCAGCTGGAGATGGGTGGGGGAACCCATCCTTGGTCACAGCCGGAGTTACCTCAAGGCAAGCTCAGCGGGCAGTTATTCTTCTAAGTTCCTGTATCAGGCTGTACGTGCACTCCTAAAATGTTTGGGCCCTATTCTGAGGAAGTTCTCCAAATACTTATAAATGAACAAAATAGGTAATTCTATCACTTTTAAATGACTAAGGGAACAGGTAGTGAATCTAAAACCTGGAAAAGAAACCTTGCCTTCTACTAGGAAAACCGTATAGTAAGTTTGAAGTACTTCAGTTCATGAGGGGGAGTGGAGCAGCACTGATGGAAACGGGGCAGGTGAGTGCAGAGGCCATCTTGAAGGGGAAGAGCCTCTGGCAGCTCCTGCTCTTCCTGCTTCCTTGGCGGAACCAAAAGCCTCCCAGGGGATGTAAGCTATTTCCTCCTTCCAGCCCCGCCCACTGCCGCCTCCTAGGCTTTGGTTCAGCTGTTAAACAGAGAAGCTGCTTCTTGGGATCTTAGGGGTCACCTTCCAGCAGCCAAGGCCCCATCAGCATGTTAAATTCTCTGTTTCCTGTGGTAACTGTACTTTGCATTACAGCTACTGCTGTTACATCATAGCTGCTCCTCTGTAGATTACAGGCTTTGAGGGCATGTGCTGAATGGAGTTGGCTTCATCTCCACAAGTTCTGAGAGGTCATACCTGTGCTAAATAAGTAAACATGTTGACGTGCAGTGCTGGGTCAGGCTGCTCTCTGTCGTGCAGTGTCTGCTGCGTCAGACTGCTTTTGTTTGACATGCAGTGCTAGGTCAGACTGTCCTTTAACATGTAGTGTCTGGGTCAGGCTGCCCTCTAACATGTGGAGTCAGGGTCAGACTGCCTTCCTTGATGCTAGTCCTATTTTTTGCTTTAAAAAAACCCTCATTTTGCAAAGCATGAGAGATATTGATGTAATCCGATTCATGGCGAGGAAAATATTTAGGGGCCAGCAAGATGGTTTGGAGGAGCAGCCTGAGACTGCTGAGCTGTGGAAATGACAGCTCATTCCTTACATACTTTGTGTTTTCTTTGTCCATTGTTGCTGCTGTGGGGTAGGATCCATGGCCTTTCACATTCAAGAGAGCATCTTACTACTGAGCTACGTCCCTACTGCACCCTGATGTTGTCTAGCAGTTTAGTGGGATTTCCCACATTGTACATAACTCATTTTATCACCACCATAAGCCTTTCTGAAAAGTGAATTTATTCCACAGTTAAGGACCGATTGTTCCTCAGAGAGGCTTTCCCATGATCAAATGTGTTAGGTACTGAAGAGGAAAAATAATCTGCAGTACCATTCCATCCTGAGATGTGAATGTTCCTTCCTTCGTCATTTGTCTGAGGCAGTAGTACCCAAATCCCTGAGCAAACCCACCACAGCTCAGGACACTTGTGTGGGCTCCAGCCTGTCACTGTCTTGTGACTGTGTCTAAAGCAGCCAGTGGCTACCAAAATTCACACACACCAATGAAGAATATAGTCAGGGTTGCACTGAGCTAGACAAACACAAGAAATCTGAAGGATCTGCGAGGGGTATGGTCTGTGCTGTACGGTGAGCCTATAATTGTATAATCCATGGATCACCATGAATGTTATTGAGAACAAGTCTAAGCTCCCTGCTTTATGATAGGAGTGCCTTAATAACTCACTGTAGGCTATAAAAAACTGAAATTAAACCTATTATGCTTTCTGTGTTACTAACATGCCCGAATTTCCTCCCCTTCAGTGGCTCTCTGTACTTTGGCCCCATCCCAGCAATGACAGATGTTTAGAAATGACACTGAGGGAAGGATCACCTGAGCTTCCCAGGATCAAAGCTGCTTTTCTTTGTCTTGTGCCTGGCTTAGGAGCTGCTTCAGTTGTCAGTGATGGTGACAGTCTGCCCCTTGTCAGTGTCTCTGCTCTTCTGCACTGTGTGGAGGACTCAGTGGAAGATTTATCTACTTCTGTGTTTAATGTGGTCGATAGCTCTGTTCCTTTGGGCTGAGGCAGATGTACGTTAGACTGTAGCATTTGTGCTTCTTAGTGCATTGCAGACAAGGTGTTTAACCCTTCTGAAAATGCTTCGTGATGCCGTCTTCTTTGGGGTCCTCTAAGCACTAACTGAGACCAGCTATATGGAGCTGATAAAACCATTCATGCTTCTTCTTGTGTTGTCGGTCCCTTCCAGTTGACATGACTTTTTGGTTTTTCAGGTGTGGGTTGCTGACCGAGGAAATAAAAGGCTTCAAGTATTTGATAAAGTCACTGGAGAGTGGTTAGGAGCATGGGACAACTGTTTCACAGAGGAGGGGCCTTCTGCTGTGAGGTAATCATTGCTGGTTGTTCTAAATGCTTGTTTTAGCTGGTTATGTGACCCACTTCTTCTGAAGAGTGGCTGAAACTTTGAAGTGTTTATTGTTAATTTTAAGCAAGAGAAAATGGAAGGAAACAAAAGTCCAAAGAGGATAGACAACTAGGATTGTCAAATCCTCTGAGAGATTTCTAATCATAGAAGGGCCGAAGCCTGAGTCCACGCTCAGACCTTTCCCAACTTCTAATTCTCCTTTCATTATGTTATGTTGTGTTTTGTTTTAACGTAGGCGTATCTTTAGCTTCATCTATTATCCCAGAATTATGTACAATTTAAAATCGTTGAGGAATCTCTCAGACAGTGATGGCCACTGTTGTTGAGCACTGCAGAGTGTAAGCACCCCACACTTACTTACCTGCCTACTTACCGGGCCATGATCACCTGATATGGCCACAAGGAATGAAACCAGGCCAGTTGGAGGGTCCATGGCAAAACTTAAGCTGTGGCAATTTTATTGAAAGTAATCAGACCCTTTATACCTTTATCAGAAATAGAATGTAATGGCAGTTGCCAGGATCAGTACAGTTGTAGTTGGCAGGATACGTTGATGTTTGCCAACTCTACAGGGTACACAAGACCAATGTCTAAGGCCAGCTGTCCTGGTAAGCTCCCGTGCTTCCTTACCTTCCAAGGGAACACAGAGAAATAGAAAGCAGCCCGGAATCTTCCTTGCCTGAGGGAGTGCTTCAGTCTCTCAGGAAGGCACGTCGTGCCCCAGCAGCCATGCACTCTAACCTGAAAAGCACTGCTGCATGCCTCTCAAGGCTGCTAAGCCAGTCCACTCCATGGTTCCCCGCAGCCAAGGACACACACACTGAGTGATGATTATTATTCAATTCTCTTTCCTCTTAGGTTCACCCCAGATGGGAAGTACTTGATTGTGGCCCAGCTGAACCTCAGTAGGCTGTCAGTGTTGGTTGCCCCACCCTCTGGAAGCATCGGGGACTGCTCTGTGGTCAGCACAATCCAGCTCGCAGATCGGGTTCTGCCACATCTTTTAGAAGTTGACAGAAGGACCGGAGCTGTCTATGTAGCAGAAATTGGGGCAAAACAAATACAAAAATACATCCCATGGCACAGCCGCACCCCTGCTTTCAGAGCCTAGTGCTTCTGGCTGGAAGGAACTTCAAGTAGCAGTTCAGAACCTCAGGGTCATTTTTACCTCTTCTTCTACCAGAAAAGTGTGTTGTTATGTCATAAAGAGTCATGTTTTCTTACGGTTTTGGGACTTGGTTTTACAACTAAGTGTGTAAGAATTATTTTCTTTCTGGTGGCCCTGGGAATTGAACTCATCCCTTCCTACATGCTAGGCAGCTGCCTTAGCAGGGAGCTACAGCTTCATGTAAGCAGCTTTTAAAGAAAGAAATGCAATTCTAAAATGGGGTCATGAGGGCGAGCTGTGGTTGTAACCAAGTTACTTGCCTGCGTCAATGAACTCTCTGGGTTCCTGGGATAACCTTTTGATTTCTTTTTTTTTTTTTTTAAAGATTTATTTATTTTATTTATGAGTACACTGTAGCTGTCTTCAGACACACCAGAAGAGGGCATCGAATCTCGTTATGGGTGGTCACCATGTGGTTGCTGGGATTTGAACTCAGGACCTCTGGAAGAACAGTCAGTGCTCTTAACCGCTGAGCCATCTCTCCAGCCCAACCTTTTGATTTCATATGAAGAATGGAAACTACTAGTTTTTAACCTACGTAAATTACACTGTGGGAGGGATTGTGTTGGTGCACTGCTGAGTTATTTGATGCATGCAAAGTGCCATACCAGGTCCAGAGGATTCTGAAGTGAGGAAGCAGTGTGGTCTGCCTTGTGGTCCGATAGAGAGATAAGTGGGCATGGTCAGAGCAGGAGCGAGAGGACCATGATGGACAGGAGGAGCTGTGTGTGTGTGTGTGTGTGTGTGTGTGTGTGTGTGTGGTCATGGAGACTGCAGTCAGTGGAAGTTTGGGCTCAGACTGGCCAAGGGATACGAGGGAAAGAGGCAACAATACTATCCAGGTAGAGAAGGGCTGGGACAGACTTCCCATGGATTCTGAGAGAGAAAACAACAAAGGCTTTGGTCTTTTTGCTATAAAATGCTTAATGTCACCCTTTACAAGCAAGTACAACCGCCAGCATCTAAGCACTGTACTGAAAGGAAGATTTGCAAGTGGGTGTTTTCGAGCAACTTCTGGCAATAAGTCCCCTCCTCAGTGTTGCCCATGCCACTGTTCAGTAAGAACTGATGTCATTACTAGCACTTATCTACCTCAAAGACATTTAAGGAGAATTAGAATCACTTATATGGAAGTATGCCAAATGCTTTGAGGTATTATGGTGAAAATTTTCTACTCTTGTAGCCCACTCTTGCACTATCTAAATACGTCCTTCTTATGAGGCTTCCCTGTTCTTTCAGTTTGTTCTGGTTGATTCTAGGTTTTGATGGAACTCTTTCCTATCAGGGTCTTTTGGTCGTCTTTTGGTCGCTCATCCCTTTTGCTCCTATCAGTGTCTCCCTGTCCCAGAGTTTTACTGTGACTTATACAGCTAAGCTGACCTTACCCCATGCACTCCAGCTGAGGGGCTTGGGACCTTCCTGTCTTGATGGTGGTGCCACATGCAGTGTGGGCCGAAGCTGAGCCTCCAACAGAAGAATACCGGACTCCAGTGATAAATGTGGCCCTACCACTCACCAGGCTGTGATTTAGAAAGGTCACCTTAGTTTCCTCTAGAGTGACAAGGGGGCATTGCTCTTCCCTTGGTCACTAATGCTGTTTGGACTGGATGTACAGCAGGCAAAGATGTCTGGATGGAGCCTGGAGTGCATTACAGGATGTTCTGAGACCAGACCGTCTAATTGCCTTTGTCATATAACACATGCCAGGTTTGCCTGGCTGTGTTCACGGCTTCTACAAAATGGGAAGTTTGTTAGTATGACCAGTTGACTTGGATGGACAGGTAATGTGAAGCTTGTTTTGTTGGTAAGCTGAAGAAATGCAGGTGCCCTTCTGAAGGAGAGTAGACTAGCTGAACTGCCTTTGTTATTTCTACTGTATTTGATTTACCTGACTATACGAGATCATTTTTATCGACGATTTCATACATAGATACTGTGTTTTGATCAAATCCATTGGGCATTCTCTCTCCTTCAGTTCCTCCCCACCCCCCATCACCTTTTCTCCCAGCTTCCCATGCACATGTTCATTCCGAATGAACTTTGTGCTTCCTGGATGTGCACGGTGTAGGACACTCCACGAAGCAGGAGGAGCCTTTTAGGAAACATCCACCATAGGCATCCATCTCCAATATCTCCCCAGCTTGTGGTAGGCTTCACGAGCCCCTCCCTGCTCTGTGCTGGGACTTTGACTGCTGGTTTGTGTGTGCTATCACTGCTGCTGTGAGTTTATGTTCAGCGGATGATGTTTTGCTGCAGACACCTACCACCCCTGTCCTCTTTGCCAGTAGTCCCCAAGGCTTTCATGGGTGTCCCATTTAGAGCCTATCAGTTCACAGTCCCTTATTCTCTGTGGCTGAATCACTTATGGATCTCTGTGTTAATATCCATCTATTCAAAGTGAAGCTTTCATGATGAGAATTGAAAGATGCAGTAACCCGTGGGTATGGGGCAGTTTATTACTACACCCCTTTACCAGAATAATAGTATTAGATAGTTCCTGAGGGCTATGGCCTAGCCAGCCACAGATGTCTAGCCAATTAGCAATACCAAGCAGGTTTCCATCTTTTAGAGCGGGCCTTAAATCCAATCAATCAGAAGGTGGTAGGTCACTCTCAAGATATTGTGCAACTCTTTCGCCAGTGGACACACGTTTACGGGCCGGTCCTTACTGTAGCTCTCAGGCTCCACAGCTGGTTAGGATTGCTGAACATTTTCTCCTTCAGTGGTATAAATAGAACCTTCTAGAACTGTGAGAGCTAGCCAGTAGGGATGAAGCTTCCAGGCCAGTGCCAGCATGGTTTCTTTACAGGTTCTTATAAAACTTGCTGCAGATATTGTTCCTGTTATCTTAATGTGATCAGTGTGCTTACAGTCAAAGCATCTCACTCTGGATCAGTGAGTTAAAGAAAGAAGACATGTACTTTTCTATTGGAACATTAAAGTTTTACAAAGAAAAATGTATGTAACCTGGCTCCTTGTTTTAAGATTTTTTTTTTTAATAATAGAAGAATTTCAGTGGCCATAAGATCTCAAGTTGGTGAGTCTGGACATGGTGGTATACATCTATAACTGCACTGTGGAGGCCATAGCAAGACCTCAAGTTGCAGACAAAAGTTTGCTGCATGAACCCAGGACTAAAAACATAGCAGGCGCTAAGAACATTCTTTGTCTTTGCCCCATAAAGCATAAGCTGCTGAGCTGTTTAAGCTAAGACAGCCTGGGTTTGCAGGGATGTGTGTGTGCATGTTCTGCTCTTACATGACTGGAAATTCGAACCCAGGTCCTCATGCTTCTCCAGCAAGTGCTCGAATCCAAGGAGCTATCTCAGCCTTATAAATTTCTATTGTTTTGGATTATGTTAGTGTGTGTGTCTATCTCTGCTGGTATGTGCATATGTCTGAGGAGGCCAGAGGCATTAGAGTCCCCTGGAGCTGGAATTACAGGCACGTGTAAGACTGAACTCAATCTTCTGCAAGAGCAGAAAGCATTCTTCTGAGCCTTCTCAGCCCCAGGAATCTGAATTTTGTGGTAGAAATGAAACTCTTGATGCCTTTGCTTCCTAGGTTTATTTTTGACATAGAGGGGGAACTATTCTATGTTAGAAAACCAAGGGCTTTGATTATCTTTCCTTCCACTCTGAGAATGAATGAATCTTTAAAACGGAGAAAACATGATTATAGTTTAATACTGAACAAAACCCACCCCTTGTATTAGGGTCATATAACTGCTCCATGTACCATTGCTGGAAGGCTAAGGTAACAACGAACTAGGTTGTTTTGTTTCTTCTGGTTTAAAAAGAGTTTTGGATTTGACTATACAGCTAATCAAACTGGGAACTCTTTAAAGTTTTAAATGAGAATTTAACAAAAAAAATCCCTGAACTTACATAGTTGGGATGTTTTATTTTCAGCTGTATGCTTTCAGCAATAATCAAATAAAAAATTTGAAGTCAGAATGTATTAGCTTTATCCAGAAGAGGGCAGTAGAGTTCTGTGTATGATAGGCACATCTTGAACTAGCTGGTGAAGTACAATGCCAGGCTCCTTTGTGTTCTTGACTTCAAAACTGAAGATACAGTGTTGAACACCGGTGTGCTTTCCTTTTTTTCTATAGTATACTTACACCTCGAGGAAGCTGGTGTACTGGTGTATCCCTGGCACAACTCCAGCAGTTGAACATTGTTCTAGCTTAAATTGGAATCCAGCTCAAGGGGAGGCTCTAAGGCCTGACACTATTACTGATGCTATGATGTGCTTGCAGACAGAAACCTAGTATGGCTGCCCTATGAGAGGCCCAACAAGCACCTGTAAGAGTCAGATGCAGATACTTACAACCAACCAATGGGCAGAAGCTGCTGACCACTGTGGTTGATTTAGGGAAAGGCTGGAAGAAGCTGGGGAGGAGAGCAACCCCATAGGAAGACCAGAAGTCTCAACTAACCTAGACCCCCCTAGATCTCAGACACTGAGCCACCAACCATGCAGCATATATTAGCTGATATGAGACCCCTAACACAAACAGAGCAGAGGACTTCTAGGTCTGGCCTCAGTGAGAGAAGAAGCACCTAACCCTCAAGAGAACTGAGGCCCCAGGAAGTGGGGAGGCCCAGTGGTGGTGGTGGTGGTGGTGGTGGTGGTGGTGGTGGTGGTGGTGTGGTGTGTGTATGTATTCTCTTGGAGACGGAGACGGGTTGGGGATCGGGAGGAGGAGTAGGATGAGGAACAGCCAGAGGGGGATAATGACTGAACTGTAAAAAAAAAAAAAAAAGATTAAAGATAATTTAAACAGGGAGTGTAGTTTTAGCAATTTTTAGTAATTCTGACATAGGGAATTCATGAGCATGAATATGCTGGGTTAGTCTTGCTGATCGGGTCTTTGAAGCTTGTTACTTGTGTTGGTTGATTATTTTACAAGAAAAGTGGATTATTTATTTAAAAGGCCAAATTATCCTTCTACCTGGCCCTTAGCCATCATGTGATTTTATGGCATAATTACCTCATAACCCATGGCTCTTTCTTTCATATGTAAGAGTTAAATGGAAGTTGAAAGTATCTTAGTGTGATAAAGTTAAGTGGTGTCTCATGTGGCTACACCTCCACATCATTCATCACCCTGTTCTCCATGACTTGCTCAGTCTGGTTTTTATAGAACTCAGAACCACTAGGCCAAGAATAGCCCTACCCACAATGGACTGGACCCTCCCCAATCCATCACCAATTAAGGAAATGCTCCAC